CGCCTTGGAGCAACTCAGAGGCTGTCGGGGAAGGTGCCCCCCGCGCGGGAGAAGTAGGGGGTCAAAAGTTTGTTTACACTGCGGGATCCCGATACCCCACACAGCCACTGCTATTGAGTGCACCCAACACCGCTCTCGTGAAAAGTGTTCACCCTTAGGATATAGTAATTGCTGTCATTCAAGTTCGTGACGCCTTCCACTGACCGAGGCCGCTCGCTTCTCGTATTGCTGAGTGGACTCCACAAAAACCAGGCCAGGAAGGTCTCTGAACTTGAGGAGAAGCTTCAGGAAGTCTCCGGAAAAGAGAAAGTACACAGGGACACGCTCCGTGCTGGCTAAATATTTATCCAGAAGGTGGGTAGTAGGGAAGGACTAATTAGTATTAAAGATGTCAAATATCGCACTTGTAATTGCGTTAGAAAAGGTAGCAGAATGGAAAGTAGGTCTGAATGCGAGTCTGAGATCATGAGAGTCGCTGCCTAACCCATGACTGCAAATGGTGACATCACGTAGGGTATACTGTTGGGTGGTGTTTTCGGACATGGTGATTTGCCTCTTACAGCTTTAGTCAGCCTATCTTTGCTAAACTTGGAATTACTCCGGTTCTAGTCCAGCTTTGCTGGGTTTATGTGTTCCTTTCTTCCAATAACCTAGGCTTTTTTTTTTATCATCTTCCTGTCGGGATTGCTCTGAGTAGTTACATGCATTTGCATGTCACAGAGGAGAACAAAGTGTCTCTTGTAGAAATGCACATGGAATAGCAGCAAGTCCCCTGAAGAAACCACGCAGAATGCCAGCTAATTTGGCGTCTGTGGGAACTAGCCAAAGACTGTCCTAAAATCAGACCTTGGAAACAATGGAAGTTCATGTTTTAATTCAGATCAGAATTCGGCAGTGGAATCAGTGGGGCTGTATAGTATTTATCTTGATAAAATAATCTTTCCCTTCCTCCGTTAGGTTGCAAGACATTTCAAGTGCTGTCTGTGACGGGAGGTTTGCCTCCCGGAAGAGATGTGGGGTATTGCTCACTGGGCGCCACGGGCACCATTGTGCAACACCGGTGTGTTGTGTTGTACTTCAGCAATTCGCCGTGTGCGCCCTTATCTGTAGCCACATACTGTACTGCCCTTAGATGTGTTAATAGCAGTTTAATTCCCTATCACGTAACTGATTACATACATTTTGCAGTGAAGAAAGGTCACGGATTTGTACGCTCTGTCTGACATTGCTAATTATCAAAAAGATTTTATATATTTTACGGAATCAAAATACAGTATTTTATGTAACAGTATTGCCTAAGTGGTTGGAACCAATAATACCCATAGCACGTTAAAAAGGTATGGCACGACCTCCGGTTCACAGGCTATCTCTGATTATCTCCTTAATGGATATACAAACACAAGAAGACATCCAACCCTTGCTACCAAAACACAAGGAGAGTAACAGAATGTAAACACAAAGCTGCTAATGTACACACTGACACATGAATGACATTTACATTGTTCAGAATAAAATCCAGGATATTCTTGAATAATGAGCAACAGAAAAATTGCTATAGCAAAATAATCTTTAGAATCAAACGTGGACTCATTTGAAATGAGAGTTTTTTCATTAAAAAAAAAAAAGGTGCAGCTAATAATAAAGTCTTTTAACCTGTATTTTGTTATAGGTGACAGGTGAACAAATCACAGGTCTTGAGTTTCTCTACCCTGCCTCTCTTGGTAACGTCATCTCCAGTACCATCTGCTACCTACCAGACAAACAGACCAACCACATAATGAGGTACCAGCTTCCACCCAGCTACCGTGACTAAATCAGAACAAAAGATTCAACGCCTCCTTCAACAAAGGAACACAAGTCTAAGCTGTCTTTGCTAATTGCTGGGTTTCAGGTTGTCTGTTACAGATTTTAAGTGAGCTACAAACTTCCATCAAATACTTATAGCTGTTGGATAAAGGTACTAAGAATAAAAGATAAATGGAAGCAAAAGGTAAGAGAGAAGAGAAGAAAGCTTAGAGAATAAGTAACTACTTATGGTAATTTAAACGCTGTGGAATAATATAAACATGAAAGACCAGGGGGCAGAGTGATTGATATCTCATATGTTTTCGATGCCCCTACGGTTATTAGGCTGCAATATATGGGAACATACAATAAACTATGAATTAAAATGTAATTGTAGCTTCAGGCATCTTCTTCATTGTCTGCTGTGGTGTTATGTCTTCATGCACCGTGATTGACAAGGTGTAATTAATCATCTTACTCAGTTGTAAATATGGGCACCCTTCACAGTAGGCATCAGGAAGTGTGTACCAGCAAAGGAAGCAATAGTTGACGCTGATATACCATTAAATCAAAATCAGAACGCTTATATGTTCAGAAATGTGTGTTTGGTGTGATGCTGTTATCGTTTATTTCTAAAATACTGTACCAACAGATTTACTTGATTTGCAAGTTAACTACAACATTAACTGGTTTTATTTATTTTGTCTCTTCTTCATTTTTATAGGCAATGATGTTGTTCTCCTAAAATGTGAGACAGTTTGCTTCTTGTCAGCCAGTGGAGCTCAGCTCAGCTCTTCATGTCCCTGAGTTGCCGGAGACAGACTAGCATGCTTCAGCTTCAGCTGCTCTATAGACTGACTTGAAACGATTCAGGGAAATTATTACGCCATTCAGATACCACTTTTTGCACTTCTTATATAGCGAGTTAGACACTTCAGGTAATTTTAAAGTGAAAGAGCATAATGAACCAATCTTATTAGGAAACGCTATTCAGTTTTAAAATCGGACATTTCTTGTCACAAATGCTGTCCCCTAACTGGAAATGAACATATTTTTAAAGATCGTTTTCAGTATTCCAGGGCAAGAAATATTTTATATCTGTTTCTTTTTCTAAATGATTGCTATCCTTATCCAGTTAGTGCAAAAATGGTGCATGAGTCACAGGAAATTTAAGTGGTTTGTCTCAGGAAAATTTGGTGGTATGCATTTTTTTGACGCACACAGAGCTGCTGAATGAATAATTGGCAACCTATTTAATGTCCTTTGCTTTAAAGCTGTCTGGTACATTTGCTGTTTAAAAAAATGTCTTTCAAAGCTGTTAAATATGTAACAAAAAGAGGTTGCTATCACCATTCTGACATGAACAAAGCCATACAGTGAGCTGCCTGAGGTACCTCCAGCATGGTATTAATTACAAACACAATAATAAATGAAAATTTGCAAAGTTCTCAAATTCCATTTCTTTGCAATACCAGCTGATGAATGTTTTATAAAAGTGTGCAGAAAAAGTATCAGTCCAGGAATTAGCTATTAAATATTAGCCAAGCCAAGTGTTTTGGGGAGAGTATGGGATCTGTTGGATCTATAATTTCACCATTTACCCTGATTGGGTAAGATCTCTAGCTGTCTCAGAAGCAAACTGAGCTTAAAACAGTAGCGCACTTTCAAGAAGATGATCGACTAAGAATGTGTTTTATTTTGATTTGAAAAACTGTCAATCATAGATAAAAAAGCCCAAATACAGTACTATATAATGTTAGCTAATTATATTTGTCTGGTAAACCAGGAATATGCAGGAAAGATAAATAATACAGTTTAAAAGGAAAATATTAAGAATATTCAGCCCAGATGTGCTGAAATTGTTTGTCACTGGTACAAGCAATAGATTTCAGATAAATATACAAGCATGTATCTATAGATGTGAGAGAAAAATAAGATGCCCATGATCTTACATATTTCAGTTTATATAGCCACAGCTATTTAAACAATTCCAAAACTGCCTCTACGGGTGTCAAAGAGGGAGGGAAATCTTCAACCACATGATCTTCTCTCCAGAGTCCTGTTAAATCCACTGAACTTAAAACAGAACAAGAAGTGTGAAATATGGGTTTGAACATGTTATGTCAGAAATGTAAAGGTTGGAAGCCTTTTTAGTAACCGATATTAATATTGTATTAAAT